ACTCATACAACTAAATCATTTTAGTCCCTTTCTCTTTACCACCCTTTTCTTACAAGAAGAGGATGGGAAGAGGAAGTGGATTTGACGGTGGAGGATATGCATAGGAAGGGGAAATATCATCTTTATGTGCGTCTCCTCCTCCGTCGAATAAGGGTAAGCAACGCATCTGCAATTGTGGATGTCTATGGGCAGCGGTCGCTTCGCCATTTTGGCGGATTGAGGTGGCCGCTTGCTCGTTTGCCACCTTATGTTATAAAAAAAAAATATTTGGAAAGTCGTTTTAATTGAATTTTGGTATTATAGGTGAGTTTAAAATATTAGAGATATCTCAGTAAACAAACATGAATTTAAAAAATCACACTCGAAGTAGTTGCTTGATTCATATTACTGTTTTGTTGCAAGAAAAAATAAATAAAATTATATTTTACCATCGAATATTAATCCGAACGAAATCAGGACTTCAAACTTGTACCTATTTTTATAGTACCTAGTAATTTAGTCAGTCAGAATAACAAAAACTAAGACTAGTAGATAATTTTTCCACCATTAAAAAGCAACGTTATCAGTGAGTAACATAGATTATTTTATTATTCTTTAATATCACGCAGACAAAGGCGCGAAAGCATGTACTAGATATTTGAATAGATTAGGTTAATGTTGAATCGGGACTGTCCGTAAACACCCTATAACATGGCGACAGCGCCCTGGCGACACGATACCCGATACTGAAACTGTCTACAGGACATGTCCTGTCTGTAATATTATAAAACTATCCTATTGTAAAAACTCTTTACACGAACACACGACGACTGAAATATCGCACAACTGTTTCTTGCTTTGATTACATGATGCGAACACTCGATTTTTAGTTATGCAACTAAACAGTTGAAGCTGCGATACAAGACAATACACAACAGTTATGCGATAGTTTAGTCAAATATGTGCGCCCGCTCTAATCCAACTTATGTTACCTTTGAATATATACGTCAAATGTATGTCCTGGGGGCAGCTAATATAGTCTTGAATAACATAGTGAAACTGTACTTTTAAAAAGTTTCGATTCGTTAGCGGGGAACTACCTACCTTCCCTTATCGACGCCCATGCCTACGGACTGTTACTTTGCTAATTTTATTAAAATAGCTCTCGCCCGCTAATCCCTCCGCGTGGAATTGAAAAAACAAAAGTGAATAGCCTATGTGTTCTTCCAGACTATCTTCTATGTCATTACCAAATTTCATCGAAATCCGTTCAGACGTTTCGGCTACAAACTCTAACAAACATCCATCCATCTAAACTTTCATATTTATATAAGTAAGAAGTATCTATACTAATGTCATGCAAAGGAACGTATTATTTATTTTTGTATGTATGGAAATAACTCAAAAACTACTAGGTCGATTTTAAAAATTCTTACATTCTTAAAAAGCTACGTTATCAGAGAGTAACATCATACTAATAGTAATATTGTAAATGCAAAAGTTTAGATGGATTGATGTTTGTTAGAGTTTGTAGCCTAAACGGCTGAACGGATTTCGATGAAAATTGGTATAGATGTAGAGGATAGTCTAAAAGAACTCACTTTTATTTTTTTTTTATTCCACGCGGACCGAGTCGAAAGCTGGCAGGCTATATTTATTTCAATGTTTATTTCTTTCTAATAATTCTATCTTTATTATTTATATATTTATTATTTAATAATTCTATCTTTATTTCTGCGCGGAAGACGTGAACAACAGCAATATATAATTTGTAGAATAAAGGAGTCAAAGGTTACCTCAAAGTCAAAGGAAACCTACAAATGGTGTGTTGTACAATTTTAACGTCTAATTGTGAATTGATTTTCTGTAGTAAATAGCAACACTGATAATCTCAACAATAGTTATTCGTTTTGACTCATTTTTGTGATTCTGATTACTTATTTATAGGTTACTTAGCTTTCAGCCGCTTTATCCGCGAGGAATTAAAAAACATAGGTAAGTAGGCTATGTGTTCTTCCAGACTATCCTCTATATCTATGTCTTATCGAGTTTCGTTAAATAGTTTAGGCTACAAACTCTAACAAACATATATCTAAACTTTATAAAGAGGACAGATTTGTATTTTTGTATGTATTGAAATAACTCAAAAACTACTGGGCCGATTTTAAAAATCCTTTCACCATCAGAAAGGTAATTTATCTGTGAGTAACATAGGCTATATTTTATTTTGTACTAGCTGTTCCCGTGCGGCTTCATCCGCATAAAATTATGAGTTTTACATTTGTCAAATTATCAATAGCAAATGTCAAAATTACATGACATGACAAAACTTGGCAATCTTGCTTTCTTGATGTTGGCAGCAACTTATAGTTTCTTTCCCACATTAGGGTTTTTATCCAAAATATTTACCCCCTAAGTTCAATTGCGTGAAAATATATAGCCTAAAGCTTGACGTAACTTTAGGGTTTTTTTTATTAAAAAAGAGATTATTCAAAAATATACTATAATTGCTGACATCTTAGGCAGCAAAGAAGTGTGTGTTTACGCTTTATTATAATAGTATAGATTAAAGTTACCCAAGTGGTTGTTTTGGAGAAAATGTAGATGCATTTGTTTTGAAAATCACTTGATTTTAATAAAGTAATTAGTTATATTTCAAATGTTCTATTTATGCAATCCAATTGCAGTGAACATTGTTTTTGAAATTCGAATTCAATGTTGCCATGAGTATAAAAATTAATTAGTGTTTACATTATTAGGATTAAATGAAACAAACTTGCTTTTGTATTTTGTATGCATATATTCGGATTCAATAATTCAATAGCTATTCATAATTAATACACTTTTACTTAAAAAAAAATTACACCGACTTCTGTCGAACGCATCGTACTGTTGTACTTATTAGTAACTAACTTAGCTATATCCAAGCTTAATATTACTATAAATTACAAATTTCATTACATTCCGATATTACTACAATTTATAAAATTAAATAATTAAACTAATAATCTCTTTGAAAGTAAACAAAATTAAAAAAAAAACATTCCGTAATCCGTTTATTTTTATTTTTAATCTATTGCTGTCAAAACCCATTCAAATTTCGAACGCAAGATTTAAAACTATAAAAGTGAAGCGACCAATTAGCGAACGGATATCCATTCTTATTGGTTACTGGCATCCAATAAAATTCAATTAAAAAACATAATTTATTTATACAACTGTACAACGATAACATTGGGATATTTCATCACATTGTCCATCGGAATTACTTAACAAACGCTAATCTTAGAACTAAACAATTTAGGTCACATATACAGATTTAGCACACACATTTACAAAATTTCTTTTATTTTAAAACTAAAGAAAATTCAATTAGAACACATTATTTACAATTATATAATCTATATTAACGCGTTGCAGGCGAACGTCGTAACGAGGATCCATTTTCACTGAGTAGCGTTACTTCAGCCTCGAGTGAGGAATTAAAAAAAAAACGTCATTTATAATCAGCCATTTTTTTAATGTTATTTCATTCAATTAACTATATTAAATACAGTTTTTGCTTATAATTATTCTCGTGTTTGATGTAATTTATTTCAGAATTGCATCAATTTTTTTTCCCGCCAATTTTGACATTTCGTTTTTTAATTAATAGTTTATGTTTAAAATTAAATATAAATTTGTGTCGTATTTTTAAATATAAACAAATAGTGAAAATGACCCTCAATATATCTTAAGTTAAATATAATACGTGATATGACTCGGGGGAATTTATAAAAATTTTAGGAAGCGATTAAAAAAAAATTCTTTAAATCTATACTTAAATATGGCGAAGTAAACAGTTTCGTTTCAAGAATAGGCCACTAAAGTTTTTTTTTTTAACAAAATTCGTTGATTTTCGTTTACGAAAAGGAAATTTTTAGGTCTTATTTTAGTGATTTTAAATTAACAATTCAGACGAATCAAGAAATCACTCCGTTTAACTAGAAATGAATATCGCTTCGAAAGAAATGTAGTTTTAAAAATATTTTATCAGTGTCAAAGAGTGATTTTATTTTTCGTCCGAAAATTCAATTTGAAATGACGAAAGACCGAAAGTTTGATTAAAATTAATTCATTCTAAAATTAGTCGAATTACTGATAAATAAATACGCTTCGTTCGTAAAATAATTGATATGTATTTACATCGAAATTGCGAACGATTTTCACACACATTTGACATTCCGCCGCCGGGATTAGCGCGAAAGTAACACGGAATGTCAAAAGCGTTTGAAAATCGAATGCAATTTCGAATGACATTAGTAACCATAGACTATGAGTGATATTTTTAAAAGTACAGAAGCGAATAGATCTACAGTAATTCGGCCAATGTTAAAAATCATCGCACACCCAATAAAACAAATTATATTTACAAATCTAAATAAGAAAGACTAGAAACACTACACCATGTTTATTCCGTACTTTTCGGGGGCGAAGTAAGTGTTGCCAGAGTTGGAGAAGTTGGTGATTTGGGATGCTTGGAGCATGCTGAGGTGGGGGGAGTTTTGGGCTTGGTTTTCAGGGGATTCGGGGCCAGAAGAGAGGATATTGTGTGAGGGCCAGGCGGCGGGAGGGGAGGGGTTGCCGAAGGAGACTTGGTTGTAGAGCTGGTTTCCGTTGGCAGTTAGATTATGACCATGGTGACTGCCGTGCGATTGGTTCACTGACGAACCGTTGAAGTACTCCATCTGTGGGAAGATAAACCTCATTATATTACGATTTACTATACCAAAAGAAAGTTTCAACTACAATCTATACATATAATGAAATTGGGGTGTCTGTAATATCAATTGAAAAATTCCAGATTTCGGTAAGATAATGAATTTGCGTTGCTGGCAGCAAAGATCGCATTTAAAAAATATTTGTTTGTCTGCCTGTCTGTCCGCAAGCCGCGTTTATTCCGGGTAATACACGGAGCTGCTGGGCCGATTTCGCCCGGACTTTCACTGGAGGGTAGATGACATAGACCCACATATTATAGACTACTTTTTTTTATTCCGCGCTGTCAAAATGGCGTAACGGTTGGTCCAAATGCGCTAACGAAGTTTGCTTGTGTCAGCTCGTTTTAAAATACAAATTGAAAATAAATGAACAAACCTCACCTGGCTAGGATAATATGGTGAATTATAAGCACTCTGTCCGTATCCCTGATGATGATGAGAGGTGGAGTAACTTCTTATATAATCAGAACTGCCAGGCCAATGGAAGCTATTGTAATCCGGGTGATAGACGTTTCCCGGTCCATTGATACTCTGAGGCGTGATGGGAGGAGATGGGGTCGTCATGATCGAGGAGTTGGAACCCAAGGGGGTGAGGTTCCCTGTCAGACGAGAGCTGTACTGATCTTTCACCAGGTTACTGCCGAAAGATTTCTCCGTGTAATCAATTTTGCTGCTATAATCCAATCTTTTAGGGCTGCTGTATAATTCTTGTTTTGGGGTAACTCCGTACCCGTGGACATTTGTGATGTTATCTGATGGTGAAGATTCTTTCCCGCTTAGTCGGATTGCTTCTGAATTGTATTGGTGTGTGAGTGAAAGGTTGTTTTTAGTTAATGGTGATGTTTCGTAGTTTGCAGATTCTTTTTTACAAATAACGTTGATAGGTGGACTGACTGAAGTGGTCGGTGTGATTGGAAGGTTTGGGGATGATGTGGTGATGCTGGAAGAGTTGGTGGTGGTGCTTGAGGAGTGTGGGGCTTTGGATGATGTTGTTTTAGAGGTGTTGGAGGAACTTTTTAGATTGGAGCTGGAGGAGAGCGAGGATTTGGAACTGGATGAGGATTTACTGGACATTTGCGTGTTGGATTGCTGTTGGAGTTGCTGTCGGCATTTCGCTCTTCGGTTTTTAAACCAAACCTGGTGAAGAAATTTATATATTAGTGCTTTACTTCTATTTCTTAACGTTTCTAAATTTTTGTCAGATCTAGTCTTAATATAAATATAGAGTGTGCGCACACCTGAACTAAATTATCGCACAACGGTTGTGCGATTGTCGATTGTTTCGCAGCTAATTCGACTGTTTTGCACAACTAAAAATCAGGCTCAAATCAAATCGAGACTAAACAGTTGTGCCATTGTTTTGTCAAAGGTGCAAGCGCTTCACTACCAGATAGCAGATGGTAGACAAATCATAGACGATTACAAGCGTTGACAAGCTGCAAGAGTCATTACACCACGCGCCCATGTTTGCTTGTTGGCTTATAGGGTATGATTTATTTGTTAAAACGTGGGGTTCGATTCCGACATGGCAATAACATTTACTCGTAGAAAATTGCAACTGTTTCCAGCAATGTATTTTAATGTAAATTCTATTTAATTTTACAGATCCTTAAAATATTTTTTGACATAGTAAGGTAATTGGTATTTTGACATTTTCAATTGAGAATTCTATAAATGTTAACAATAAAATACATTAAAACTACATGCGGATGAAGCTACGCGGGAAAAAAGTATCTGAACAATCTAACGCAAACGTCAACTGACATTCCCTCCGAATGTCATAGAGTAAAAAAATTCAAAGATTAACAAAAGTGAAACGCATTCAACATTCATTTTACTAATACTGGATACGGCATCTGTTACATTCATATTTGCTCTTTTTCATAAAACATTAAGTCATTGATGAGGTATAAAGGGGGCGAGCGCGGTGGGGGGCGTAATCCGGAGCGGCTGCGTTGCGGCACGGCGGCAAATACAAGAGGGGTAAGGTTTACTCGTATAAAAATCAATGTTCGATTCCTAGTCGATACTGATGTGATATGGAAACGTCTTAAAACTTAATTGTATTAATTGTTCTTTAGTTATTTACGTATAGATATTCATTATGCTCTCTTAGTGACGATTAAAGTATTCTGCGTATAGCAATTAGTGTCGTTAATCATATTTGAAAATTTTAGGGACATAACTTTTAATTTTTTTTAATTTAAATAGAAAGACGATTTTTTTAATAATTAATCACCTTGAATAATGTTTTAGGATTTGTTATACTCATTTTAAATGACGTCACTTGCCCTGATTTTGCTTTTTACTAATACGCACAACTATTTTTACATATAACATATTTATTAATTATCTCATATGTCAAAGTACTATAAAGAACGTGGAAAATTTTACTTTTGTTATATTTCCTAGTAAAAAATTCCAAAACGATCGTAAACTTGCAGACAAATCTGCATACAAAATAAATTTGACGGCTCATATAATTTCCAAATTATCTCAACAACATTACATCAAAAAAACTTAAGGTCATTTCGACTATTTACAGATACAAATCTACATTTTTAATCTGTGTAAATTTGTTCCTCATTGCTCAAGAAACACATTAAACACGGAATGCAGATAATAAAATAAATTATCAACACACTAGCGCCTCTTAATTTTATCTGTGAATCTGCATTATTCAATTAGTACCAACTTTAGTTTATCTTTATCTTTCTTTTTTGAAAAACTACGAAGGGAACGCTCAAAGATCACGGCGATAGATAGACGCAAAAAAACATAGTAACAGGTTACTTTTAGCATACTAATTAACGGTTTGTAACTGCTATAAAGCGAAGTTAAATGATATAATTATTCGCAACATGAATTTTTCAAATTAAGAATACGGATACGGTTTTTGTTTTTAAAATTTATTTCGCGGCATCGCGGCCGTAGATCATTTTTACGCTAAATAATGCATTGATAAAAGTGAAATCACAAAGCGGAACGGAAATGTTATAAACGTTTTTCACAGCGAAAGCGTAGTTGAAATAACCTTAATTGATAAAAGTAAACACGTCGAAGAATTACGCGGGAAAATGAAGCGCCATTTCTAAGAATGTTTCAGTTGGAATATTGAGTTGCTAAAGGGAAAATAAAGTTAAATACATCAAAGATGAATAACTCGAATCCATTGATACTAACAGACTTAAATAAGTATTATTAAATGCTGTCACATCGAAAAATTGCTGAAACATGTTCAAAAAAGGGATTTCTTTTCCCGTATTGGATAATGCGGCTGTCAAACAATGGAGCGGATTGGATGATTCGATTTTCGAATTTCAAATTTGGAACGTAATTCGATTGCGCGCCAATGCCCGTGTCGATATAATGGGTTCCCATTTGATGTTCAATTCTCGAACATCAAAGAGTAAAGGAATAATAGAATGTCGATTGTCTTTTTACGACATGGATTATAAGACGATTTTATTTAGCTAAGAACTTAATAGAAACACTTATTAGAACTATTTGTTTGATTATTTCGTATTTAAGATAATATATCACATACTAGAATAAGGAGATGATGATGACTAGAAACAACTTACTTGTACTCTAGATTCAGGTAAATTTATTTTCAAGGCGACTTCTTCCCGCATAAAAATATCAGGATATCTCGTCTTGCCGAACAACGCTTCTAACACGTCGAGCTGAGCTCTGGTGAATGTCGTTCGTTCCCGGCGCTGCTTACGCGGGTTTACACCTGGAATTAAATTATAGAATTAATTTATATATCTCTATCAATCTATAGTAATGTAAAAAAGCGTAAACGCACACTACTTCGTGGCGTAGGTTATCAGCAATCACAGTATATTTTTAAATAACTCATTTAATAAAAAGACCTACACTGACGACACGCTTTAGGCTATATATTTTCACCCTATGAATCTTAGTAGGGAAATAAATTGGAAGAAACCCTGAATATAGGAAAGGCACCATTAACTGCCTACACAAAGGAATCAAAGTTGCCATGGTTGTCATTTATGCATCTAAATTTTGACATATAAAATAAAGTTTTTATAATTTCATAAGTTTGAAGTCGCGCGGGAGGAACTAGTTAATTCATACATTTATAAATATGTGAATAGTAACGGACCCGCAACTATGTCCGTTCGGAATTTAAAACCTATTACGTAGTCTATGTGTTCTTCCAGATTGTTCTTCATCTATGACAATTTTCATCGGGATTTTATGTCAAAAAATCCTCGCTGTTAGATTATTCTTTAACAAAATCTTACACGAAATCTTTTATAAACATAATTGCATTATCAAGATGCATGTATGGTAAAATTTAGTAAGTAATAAATAAAAATTTCTCATTAGTGTATACGAATTAGTCGCGCCGCTGGTAACGTGTGAATGCGGTTATTAAAATGTTAATGTCCATAGACAAGCGCGTTTTGTTTTTATGTGCGTTCAGGCAAAGGCGTCCAGTGTCAGCTGCCAGTTATAGTTAATTTGATTAAAATATAGCTAATATATTCATTTATACGAGAAATAGATTACAAATAGTTTTAATTATTGATATATTATTAGGAACTGATCAAATTTTTATTTTTCCGTTAGTAAATATAGGTTATCTTACTTTTTAGTTACAATTTTAGAGTTTTTAATGCGTGATGCATTTTTTTATTTTTTTTTAATAGTAATACTAGCATTTATCTTTATTTCATTTTACAAAGAACTAATTCTAAAATTGAAAATACAACTAAAAATAGTATAAGTTAAGAGATTTAATTATTATATTACAACGTTCGTTAATATATGTTTATAATGTTTTGTTACGCATCTGCTTACCTCCTGCGTAAGCGGTGTTTCAAACGAATAAAATTATGAGGTCCGTAATTTGTACTAATAATATGGTAATGGCTAGACGCTTCTGTGATACGGACCTTTGATTTTGTTATTTATACCGACTGCTTCTCAAACTGTTAAATATATGTATATATAATAAAATTGAAGTGTCTGTTTGTAATATCAAAAGAAAACTTCCAGATTTCGGAAAAATGATGTTGACGTTGCTGATAACGAAAATCGCATTACAAAATGTCATAATTTAATTTCATTGGAAATATGGAAGAAATAACAATGTTCTGAATTGACAGACTTTCCCAAGTTGTCTAATAAAATATTTTTGGTACATAAATTCATTTTTATTGGTATTATTTGTTAGCGGAATCGTTTTTTTATTGATTATTTGCTTGCTAACAGTTTGAATACCGCTGCCTTCATCTACATAGTAAAGAAAGATTGATAAGAAAAAAAATTGTAATTTGTACCGCGGCGAGGTTTCTTATTTTGCTTTGCTTTTATTTATTTGAATATTTAACTAAAGCAATTGATATTGTTCAATACCTTTCTCCTGCGACAACTTCCATGTAGAATTTAAAAAAAAAGTAAATGGCCTACATGTTTTTACAGATTATCCTTTGCATCTAAAATCTCAACAAAATCCGTTTAGCAGTTTAGGCTATAGAATAAAATATTTTTTTCATCTAAATAAAACTTAGTACTAAATTCGTTGTTCTACGCCTACCTCTTACAGTCATAACTTCAGAATTCAAGTTCATGAAAAAATATTATCACAATAGAAATTCTGTTCTACAAACTTAATAAGAATTTAAACCATAAATCATACGAATGTTAAACGATAAGAAAGCTAGTCGTGTTAACAACTCAGTCAAATGTAATCCTTTAACAAATTACATTACATTTATTTAAAAACAAACAATATAAAAAACAAACAATGCGTAACATGTCTTCATAAAAGAATATTCTTTGACAAATAGCTGACGTTGTTTAAAGAACCTCACTTGATAGGTCAAAACGTCACGCCCGCGCTTTCGTCTGTCAAAGAGGCATAGACAAATTGTTGTTTTCTGTATACTGTTACTGGCATGTAAGACATTTTGGACTGCTATATTAAAAAGTAGAAAAAATCTGTAAAGTAGCGACAGAACTGACGTAAAAAAAGGAAATGCCGGCGAAAATGTTGCCACAACAAAAATGATACTTAATTACATTAATATTTTCATTTAATTATATATTTGAAAGGGCAGAATAAAAGTGTTGTCCGATGTCATTTCAAATAAAGTTTTTGTATCTATCAGAAATAAAAACTATTGTATAACAATCCAACTCAGTTGGGGCGCAAATTGTTATTAGACTTTTCAATCGCGCGTTCGTTCACGGATTAAAAAAAGTAAAATAATGCATCGCGTTCATTCGAAACTAGTCGCGGGCCGTCCCCATTCAGTCGGCTATTCCAAACAAACATTTCATACGAAAACTGTCACATTACCCATGCCATAGAAAAGTGGAAATAAATAGACGTTAGTCCATCTCTTTCGACTTGTGTAAAGCGACGCATGCGTGAGAAGGACGGGTATATTTCGATTGTTATAGTTGACAATGGGGGCTCGAACGCTAATCCTCATGACATGGCGGCCTTTTTTTAGAGTTAGCGATATTATCTTCACGGTTGATTTCTGATAGGGCTACTGCGCAGGGGTGCTGCTAAACTAGAAACTTTCGACTCTATCCGACAAACAGCAATATGTCAAACAAGAAGCATAGAATATAGCTAATTAGAGCTAATTTGAAGGACTAAAATACTTTAAATCTTAAAGAAATTTCAACATTTATTTACAAGTTGTATTTAGAAACAAAAACATCAAAAATACGATTAAGTTGGAAATGGGATAAAAAAGTAAATATATTACTACCCATTTGTAAGATCTAAGTTTTTTTAAAACGCTATACCTTCCTGAAGTAAAGTTTTATTTTTCCCGAAACCAGTGTAAAACTTTCCCCCGTACGTCTGGCAACCCTATACCGTATAAAGCTTGTTTATGGTCGCTTGTCTATGACTGCTAATGGTAGATTCGTGTTCAGATCTCGTTACGGCGTATCGATAAATTTTGAAAGGTGCGGTCGGGACTTATTATTATAATCTTTTGGCTTGGAAGTAATATTGGTTCTCAGTTCCTTTTGAACTGTAACAATACGTATCGGTATATTGGATAGATATAGATATTAAAGTCAAAATGAAGCAAAATAAATACGATGGTACAAGTATGTAAGCATGGTATGGGCATATTATGAGGGACCAATGTAACAAACAGGATGTTAGTTATGAGTTACACCGGTAGAGGTAGACCTAGAAAGAGATGGATTGCGTGAAAGGTGACATGATCAAGGGAGTGATGACTGACATGACGTATGATAGAGTTATCTATGGACTAGGATAAGGGGGGAATTTTTTTCTTAACCTTTCTGTCAAATGTTTTCAGACGCCAATTGTAATTAGGTCCAAAAGATCTTATAATATCTTATATGCTAAATTAATATCAGAAACAGGAAAGCATTGAATTTTTGTATGTAACGGATTAAATTAAAAACTACTGTAGTTTTTAAAAAATATTTTGCTATTAAAAATATTATTTAATTTTTTTTAAATCCCGCGTGGATTTAAATTCTTTGTCTGTAGATTACTTACATCATAACAGCACTTTTTATTCAACTAACTGCTCGCGACTTCGCCCGCGTTAAAATAGAATATAAAATATAGCTTTTCCCGTGCGGCTTCATTCGCATGAAATTATAAAAAAAAATATGCTCAATTGTAAATTTCAAAAGTACCGTTACCATAATAACCTTGCTTCCTTGATGTTGGCATCAACTTATGGTCTCTTTCCCAGATTAGGGTTTTTATCTAAAATATTTACCCCCTAAGTTTAACGGCGTGAAAACACGTAGCCTAAAGCGTGACGTAAGTGTAGGGCTTTTTATTAAAAAAATAATTATTCAGAAATATGCTGTAATTGCGGACATCTTAGGCAACAAAGAAGTGTGTGTTTACGCTTTATTATATCCTATGTTACTCACAGACATATAGTTTTTGAGTTATTCCATTCATACAAAAATATAAATCTTTTCTCTTTATAATATTAGTATAGATAAAGACATCGCGTATTCAAGATTAGAAATAAAAAAAAAAACAATGTTGAAACTAATGTAGAAGTTACAAAAAGTTTTCATACAAATTTTACGGTTTTAATTAGTTGTTTCTAGTTTATCTAAGATTACGTAATGCAGAGTATTTTTCCCATTAATTAAAAGAATTTGGTAAAACATTTGCTAATTAACTGGCAACTTATCCATCAATGTGGTAACATTCAAAAAAGAATAAAAAAAAACAATTTTTTCACGTCCTCTTGACCCCGGCACGTCCCTAGAGCATCTTTAATGATGTGTTAAGTTTAAGGGGGAAGACACAGCTGTGTAAAGAAAACAGACAAAATCGACTTTATGTCAAATACAATAAGATCTTTAATGGCGGGAATAAATATCAAGAACTTGTATTGTCAAATTGACAGCTACGAAGGGATTGTTTAGTGGCACGGCTTTTAGTGTTGTTTCTTAAATTTGAATTTGCATTTAAAATAAGGCCGTTGTTATAAGTAGCTTAGCTTAGCTCTACTAAAAATCTTACTTCTAATAATTTTAAATGAAAGTTTAGATGGATGGATGTTTGTTACGAGTTTGTAGCCTAAACGGCTGAACGGATCTCGATGAAATTTGGCATAGACGTAAAGGATAGTCTGGAAGAACACATAGGCTACTTCCTTTTGTTTTTTTTTTTTAATTCCACGCGGAAGTCGCGAGCAATAGGTAGTCTTACTAATATTATAAATGCGAAAG